GATATGGAGAGTGGATATTTGCTGTCTTTTCCTCTACAAGAACCTCATGTATCAAATGGAGGAAAGGAAAAAAGTGAGAGGCAGGATCAAGGCATGGAAGAAGAGATGGTTCTCCATGTGGAGAACTGTGGAGCTCCTTGCTAGCAGCACTGTGACTGCTAAAGGTTTACCTACACTTGTCTTCTGTGGAAGAGGAATTTTTGTGAGGACTATCAAGCACAGAAACCCTAAGGCTCTGGAGGTCTTCCACCAGAAATTTTTCAGAAAGCTGAGAAAGTTTTCTGGGATTGTGTAAATGTGTTCTTTTCTCCTCCTTATATTCTTCCCACCTTGATCATCTACTGTTGACATGAAAGTGTTGGAGATAGGAACAGCTGCACTGTTAGGTGAACCAACAGTTCACCTAATCCAGGATCCTATCTTCTTTCTGTTACATAGCCTGTACACTCTCAAATTTAACCAAGTGAGGATGTCTACCAAAGCAAATCTGAAGTGTTTTTTTCTCAGAATTGCTAGCACTTTGAGTGCATCCTAGACACCTTGATTCTAGGCTTCTCCACAGTAATGGCATTTCATGCCCTCCAGGGATAGTTTGAAAGAGAGCTTACTTGATACTGATCTTTGTTAAGGGAGTCTGAAGTCTAGCAGCACACCCAAGTACAACCTTTTAAGAATAGAGAGTACAGTTAACATTTAAAAGAATACAGCTTGTCATAAATCATAGAATAGTTTGGGTTGGAAGGGACCTTTAAAGGTCATCTAGTCCAACCCCCCTGCTAGATCAGGTTGCTCGGAGCCCCGTCCAACCTGACTTTGAATGTTTCCAGGGATGGGGCATTCACCACCTCTCTGGGGCAACCTGTGCCAGTGTTTCACCACCCCCAGCGTAAAACATTTCTTCCTTATATCTAGTCTGTATCTACCCCCCTTTAGTTTAAAGCCATTCCCCCTTGTCCTGTCACAACAGGCCCTGATAAAAAGTTTGCCGCCATCTTTTTTTATAAGCCCCCTTTAAGTACTGATAGGCTGCAATAAGGTCTCCCCGAAGCCTTCTCTTCTCTAGGCTGAACAACCCCAACTCTCTCAGCCTTTCTCCATAGGAGAGGTGTTCCATCCCCCTGGTCATTTTTGTGACCCTCCTCTGGACCCGCTCCAACAGGCCCGTGCCTTTCTTATGCTGAGGGCTCCAGAGCTGGACGCAGTACTCCAGGTGGGGTCTCACCAGAGCAGAGTAGAGGGGCAGAATCACCGCCCTCGCCCTGCTGGCCGCACTTCTTTTGATGCAGCCCAGGATACGATTGGCCTTCTGGGCTGCGAGGGCACATTGCTGGCTCATGTCCAGCTTTTCATCCACCAGTGCCCCCAAGTCCTTCTCGGCAGGGCTGCTCTCAATCCCTTCATCCCCCAGCCTGTACTGATACCAGGAGTTGCCTAGAAAGTAGTGTTTGAAGAGAACTTCAGAGCATATGAATGGCAGACAAACAACTAAACATGAACTGTTGTTCCTGTGTTGTGATAGAAGTAGCTGTCAAAATTCTTGAATTCACAAACAGGAAAATAAGTTACACTTAAATGGCACCAATGAAACCACTTTTCTGCAATAATATTTCTAGTTCTGGTTTTTACTTCAAAAAGAGATAATGGAAGGCTTTCAGAGAGTTGCTGCAAAAAAATATTTCAGCATTTGGGAAACAAACTTTATACTGGAAAGCTTAAAAGAACATGTTTTGTTCATCCAATAGAAGATTAAGGAGGTCTATAGTATCTGCAAATGGGAGCTGAATATATGGTGGAAAGAGGTTTCTTTAACGTAGCAAAGACACAACTGCTGCATTTTTGATCCACTGGATTTTGCAAACCAGAAATCAGGCACACTTGTGTCCAACAGACTTTGGAGGACTGATTAATGGATGTTGGATTCATCAGTTGTAGTCTTTAAGTCCTTTATGGATTTTTTTTCAACTGAAAATGTGGTAATAAATAACTGGAGAATATTGTGCTTTGTGTTTGAATCACTTGATAATTTTTTTTTATGTATTATTTTATGATAGGCAGGAGGACTTGTGACCAAATAATAGAGTAGTTCAGGTTGGGAGGGACCTCAAGAGGTCTCTAGTCCAGTCTCCTGCTCAAAGTAGGGTCAGCTGTGAGATTAGACAAGGTAGCTCAGAACTTTATCCAGTTAGGTCTTGAAAACTTCCACTGAGGAAGACTGGATGACCTCTCTGGGCAACCTGTTCCAATGACTCTCTTCATGTGGGAATGTTTTTCTTTCTGTCATAGATTAGATATGATATCTGGGTATCATAGAAACAAGAGATTGTTTCTGCTTACATGTGTTGTCTCTTATCCTTTGCCATGCACCTTTACAATGAGTCTGGCTCCTTCTTCTCAAAAGCCACCTTACAGGTATTGGAAAGCTGGTTTTAAGTCCCCATTAAGCTTTGTCTTCTCCACACTGAACAAGCCCAGATCCCTCAGGGTCTTACAGGTCATGTTCCCCAGCCACTTAGTCTCTTACTCCTTACTGAGAGATGATACGACGAGTGCCAAGTAAAGGGCAATAACCACTTCCTATTACATACTGGTTCTGTTCCTGTAAATGCAGCTCAGGATGCTGTGGACCACCTTTGCTGCCAGGGCACACTGTTGGCTCATGCTTTGCTTGCTGTCTATGCGAGTCCTTAAAGCAGAGCTGCTCCCCAACCATGCGGACCCTAGCCTGTGTTATTGCAAGGGTTCTCCCTTCATAGGTGCAGAACTTTTGCATTTGTCCTTGTTGAACATCTTAAAGCATTTATCATCCCATTTCTCCAGCTTGTCTAGGTCATGGTGATTCCTTTGGAAATATATGAATCTATGATTTCTTCATAAACAAAAATAGTGAAATCCTGCCGGGGGGGGGGGGGGGGGGAGGGGTGCTTGGGGGGAAATCTGTATTCCTGTTTTATAATAACTTTTGGGTAGAGTTTGATCAAGGATTCGCTACTGAGAAAGGCTATGCTTTTGTACTTCCTTCTGATTGCTGTCTGTGCACATCAGTTCTAGCCAATCTATAAGGAGAATGTTGCAGTTACAGGATTATGAAATAGAGTATGATTGCAGTCCAGAGTAACTTGCAAATACTGTTCAGATGCTCTTAGGCTTGCTCATTATTTTTGTTTCCATTTCTATGTGTATTTTGGCAGAACCGATGTCCAAATATGCATCCAGTCAGTTACTAAGCAGATCTAAATGGTTGCAGCTGTAGAAATTATTAAAAGTTATTACAACTGTTTAGTGACAGGCGCACACCTAGTAAAAAAAAAAAAGCCTTTTGTGTTCAGATCCACAGCAAATAGTGAGACTTACTAAGATGACTGTGTGATAAATACAGTGATAACTTAATGATATAATAAAATTATTTTTTTTAAAGGATTGTATTCATTGCTTCTGCCTGTCTAGCATCAGGATATTGAGATCGTAGCTTATCGGTGAAAAATAAGCTGTTAGCCAATTGTAAAATTATCTCCGTGTTATGGTTCAAACCTTCCTAACTAGAGAGGTTTAGCTGGGCATCGTGTTTAAACCACTTTTAGTTAAACGAGCTAAATTTGTTCACAGTGTGTTGGAAGTTTGTAAGGAAGGGACTTCCTCGTCCCTGAAATTACTTTGTTCTCTACATAACACTCAAAAAGCTCAGCTTTGAAACTTGTAACATATTTTACAGACATTCTAGGTGTGTGTAGCTTTCCATGGAATATTTACATCTTTCACTTGAATATTAAAATCTTTAAATTGTGGAAAACGTACTCTTGAACTTAATGAATCTCCTTTAGATTTTTAGGTAAATGAGTCCTATTTTATTGATAACAATTAAATACATGAAGCTTATCTATAAGTCTTAAAGCAGGTAGCATTGGCACTATTCCATTTTATTACCTTAAAAATAAATCAGATTGGTTTTGAAGAATTTATGTGGTATGAATATTATTTCTTGCATAAATTAACAAAATGAAAAATCTCATCATTTCAGTTTTTGATCTTCTGACTCCTTCCTTTTTTTGATTTATTAGGCGACTTATTTTAAATCATTCAGATGTTCTTCATAACAGAAGTAAAATTTAGTGTTAAGAGAGCATCAAGTGTATCTTTGCAGCCAGAAATTTCTCTAAAAAAGCTAGTAAACTGCTGTAATAACAAAATGAAAATAGGAAAATGGAGAAGTGTACAGATCAAGATGTGCTTAACAGTGCTGACTTGTTCTGTTATATTCTGGATTACTTTTAAGATTACCTTAAAAGCTATAGTTCTATGTTGTATCTAGCAAGCACAGGAGGCAGCAAATACAGCCTGTATGAAACACATAATGGAAGTTCATGGAACATATAATAAAAGTTTTCAGGAAGTGTTAGCGTTTTTCATTTTAACCTGTGTGCATTTGGGGGTGTTATTTCAGATTTTTCTTTATTTAAGAATTCCCTAAACTGTATGTCTTTAAAGGACTAGTCTTAAATTGTGATGCTTTGTATTAGGAAAAAACTTTGAATGAAAATTTGTATTTGTTAAGAAAAGAATAATTGAGGCCTTTTCTACCGTAAAGATTATGGGTGAATTTGCCAATTGTAAATAAATGAGAAACACATTAGTATTTTGTTACTGAAAATTTTATACTTTTCCCCTAGGTGAAAAATAAACTAAAATAATTTACTGAGAACTTTAACTACATTAAAAATACATCATTTCATTTCAGAGGTAACTTTGAGGCACTCTGTTGATTTTAAAGCTGAGCAAATCCAGAAGTGAATATTACTGTGTTGTATGGTAGTTCAAATTTTTGCTCTGAAGGTATCCTCTGACTTTTTTCATCTCTGCATTCACTCTGCATCATACTTATTTCTCTCACCTTCCCTAACGTGGTTTTTCATAAGTATTCTAAGTTCACTAGTCAAAATAGGACTCTTATGAGAATTTTGTAGGTCAGCATAAGTAACACATGGGGTTTTTTCTTCTGTTTGTAGAAGAGGTGGTGGAGGAGGAAAGAAGAAAGGAGAGTGAGGAGGATAAAGAAGGAGAAGAGGCCCAGAAAGAAGAGGAGAAACACACTGAGAGAAGTACATAATGTTAAAACTATTATGCTTCACTGGTGGCACGTGTTAGAAACACTGAATTGTTGAGGTTGGAAGGGACCTTCGGAGATTATCTAGTCCAAACCACCCTGCTCAAAACCAGGTCAACTAGAGCAGTTTGCTCAGAACCATGTCCAGACAGGTTTTGAGTATCTCCACACATGGAGACTCCACAACCTTCCAGTGTTCTACTTCCAGTGTTTGACCACCCTCACAGTAGAAAAGTTTTGATATGTTTGAATGGAATTTTCTGTATTTCAATTTGCATCCATTTCTCTTGTCCTTTCACTGGTACTCACTAGGAGTCTTGCTCTGTCTTTTTCACTCTCCACCTATCAGGTATTTTACACACATTATAAAATCTCCCCTAACTGCCTTCTCCAGTTGAACAATGCCAGCTGTCATTTCCTCATACGACAGATGCTCCAGTCCATAAAACATCTCGGTGGCCTTACACTGAAACTTTCTCCAGTATGCTCACATCTTGCTTGTATTTAGAAGCCCAGAACTGGACACAAGACTCAAGGTTCAGTCTCATAATGCTAATTAGAGGGGAATAATTACCTCCCTTAACCTGCTGGAGATACTTTTCCTCAGGCAGCCAAGGGTGTTGTTGGCATTCTTTGCCAACAGGGTACATTGGTGGCTTTTGTTCAACTTGATGTGCATGAAGACCACCAGAGCCTTTTTTGCAAAGCTGTTTTCCAGCCAGTCAGTTTCCAGCCTGTACTAGTACATGGGTTTATTCCTACCCCAAGTGTAGGACTTCGCATTTCCTTTTGTTGTACTTCATGAGGTTTCTGTTTGCCTATTTCTCCAGCTTGTCAAGGTGACTCTGAATGGCAGCATAACCATCTAGCGTAGCAACCACTCCTTCCAGTTTTTTATCATCTGCAAATTACTGAGGATGCCCTCTTATCCCATTATCTAGGTCATTAATGAAGATGTTAGTGTTGGTATCAGCATCATCTGCTGGTGTACGTTACTAGTGACAAGCTCCAACTGGACTTTGTGCCACTAATCACAGCTCTTGGAGCCCAACAGTTGAGCCAGTCCATTTATCTAGGCCGTACAATGTGAGTTTGTCTCTGAGGATGTTTTGGGTGTCAAAAGCATTACTAAAGACAAGATAAACAGCATCCACTGCTCTCCCCTCATCCACCAAGCCAGCCTTCTCATCATAGAAGGCTATCAGGCTGATGAAGCATGATTTAGAATCATAGAATAGTTTGGGTTGGAAGGGACTTCTAAAGGTCATCTAGTCCAAACCCCCTGCCGTGGGCAGGGACATCTTCAACTAGTTCAGGTTGCTCAGAGCCCCGTCCAACCTAACCTTGAATGTCTCCAGGGATGGGGCATCCACCACCTCTCTGGGCAACCTGTGCCAGTGTTTCACCACCCTCAGCGTAAAACATTTCTTCCTTATATCTAGTCTGTATCTACCCCCCTTTAGTTTAAAGCCATTCCCCCTTGTCCTGTCGCAACAGGCCCTGATAAAAAGTTTGCTGCCATCTTTCTTATAAGCCCCCTTTAAGTCCTGATAGGCTGCAATAAGGTCCCCCCGAAGCCTTCTCTTCTCTAGGCTGAACAACCCCAACTCTCTCAGCCTTTCTCCATAGGAGAGGTGTTCCATCCCCCTG